CATTGGGACAAAAAGACATTGATGCAGGACTAAAACAGAGAGCAGTACAAAACAGTGCACTTTGAATGTAAACAATGTCACCATGGATGGCACGTACACAATAGGACTTGAGACTTCAGGGGAGGTGGAGTTTATGTCGGTGCAGTTATTGGAGAAGGATTCTGAAGGAGATCAAGTGTGAAACGGAACTGAGAGGAGAGGTGACATGGGGGAGAGTGAGGACAGGGCGGGGGAGGGCAGCATGCCAGGATGGTGGGGAAGGGGCAGGAGTGGCATGAACATTGTCATCTCAGTCACCAAAAGGCGTCACACACAGTCCATCCTGCCAATTACTACACAGTAGTTTCTGGAAGCGGAACGTGCCCTATTGCATTTAGACAAGAAGGGATGCTGAACATTTTAGGGTAATTTGTTCAAGCCATTCCTCCTCCTCCAGATTATGTTTTATCTTTTTGAATGAGAAAAGTTTGACTGTTTTGCTATTTATCTTTGTTGAACTCTTGAGAGTATTTTGTGCTGTTTCTTCTTTATGTAAAAGCTCAAGCTTTCATTTGATTGTTTCTTTCTCTTAGGGGGAGAGAGGCCAGGAAGGAAGAACAGGGGCTCCGGGACCGATTGGCATTGGCGAGCCAGGTCAGCCAGTAAGTAGCCAGAAATTCTAGATGGAATAGGAAGGACAAATATAGTTCTTACGTCCTCCCTCTGGCTAGAAAAATGGTTCAACTAATCTATCTTGTATCTTTTAGACAAACAAATGATAGTAAATATGCAAGAACCAGATACAAGGTCATTTTTCATAAAGTAGGGAAGCACGTGCGCACACATACAGACACAGTAGGTTTACAGTGAAAATAATTTTTATTCCCACTTATTCAGAGTATTATGAATAATACAAATAATACAATAATTAATAAATAATAATACAAGAATAAACTCTGTTTTGCATACTCACAACTGTAAACCTACTTTTGCCCCACTCTGTATGTATATGATATGTACAACTGCTCTCTCTTACTGTAATCTCTTACAAGATTTGTCAGCTTGTTCAAGAATTATGTGTCGAAATTTCCTAGGAGATACGAGATCTGGATTCAGGCCTAATGCCTGTAATTTACTTTCCTGTAACCATGAGAAACTCACCAACAATGAGGACTTCTCATTACCTAATCCGTGAGTGTGCTCTAAAGCTGGTATGAAGGATGGTAGACAGGCCAGACATGTGTTATCTGTAGTCTCTACCTCATGTAACTTTGAAGTTTCTATTGTTGGAAAAGAAAAATATTTCTTCTGTCAAAAGAGATCTAAAGAGGAAATGAATAAAACATGACCATTCTAGCATAAAAAGCTCCTTAATTTTTCAAGTAATCATTCCCCTAGGAAAGAAAGTGGCTGACTCACTGGGGTACAAATGAAAACATGGTTGGTGTCCCAATTTGGTTTTGCATTGCATAGCACCTCACGTGTAAGTAGTAACAGAAATGTGCTTCCGGGTTGCAGGCTGTGAGTGGAATGGGAGCATATTGTTTGAGGGTTAGGCTTTTCACTAATGTCTGTGCACACATTCAATAAAGAACACATCTCAATGAGGAAAGATATACTGCACTGATTATCTAGAGACCAGTGATCAAGACTCAGTTTCTGCTAACTAGGTAGTGCCCTTAAAGGTAAACCCCCGAGAGAGAAGAAATCAGCTTTCTTGCAGACACTGCTGGTCCTTCACTGGAGAGGCTGCAAGTGTAGAAAACTGGAGGGCCATCAGCTAGAAAGAAAGACACAGGCTCATGTAGATCGCCATGTGTTCTGGGAGTACAGCAGAGAATCTGGGCTTTAAAAAAACTGGAATGAATAAATCAGAATTTTTTCATAATACTCTGAATAAGTGGGAATAAAAATTAGCTACATAAATACATTTTTAAAAATGAGCTGCTAAAAATAACAGAGAAGGATTTAGTAAACTTCCACCAGATAGACAAATCTTAACATTTTGCTACACTTGCTTTAGATTTTCTTGCAAAGACATAAAACATTATGGGTACAGTCAAGTTTACATAATCTCTTCCAGAAAATAGAAGAGGAAAGAACACTTCCTAACTTATTTTACAAGGCCAGTTTTCTCTCAATACCAACACAAGACAATGACAACACACAAAAAGAAAGCTATAGAATAATATCCCTCAGGAATATAGACACAAACATCCTAACAAAATCTTGGCGAGTAGAATTCAGCAATATATAAAAAGAATTATACAGCAGCATCATATGAGGTTCATTCCTGGATGCAAGACTGATTTAATAATTGAAAAGTAATCATTATAGTACATTGTACTATAGGCTAAAAATTACATGATCATATAAAAAAGAAACAGGAAAGCATTCAACAAAATTCAAAATTCAAAACCCTCATAAGCCCTGATAAAAACTCTCAGAAACTAGGAATAAAAGGGAACTTCTGTGATACAAAAAACTACAGCTAACATATATTCAATGGTGAAGTGGTAAAACCAAAAACAAGAGAAAGATGTCTGCTTTCACCAATCTTATTCAATGTAGTATTAGAAGTCCAAGCCAGAACAATAGGCAAGAAGAGGAAATAAAAGGCATAGATTTCAAAAAGAACTAAAGCTGTCTATTTGCAGATGACATAATGGTCTTCATAGAAAATCCCCAGAAATCTATACCAAACCTCCTAGAACTAATAATTGAACTAATAATTGAGGTCATGGGATACAAGCTGGACATGCAAAATCAATTTTATTTCTATAGTCTAGTAACAAATACAGAAACTACCGGCTTTAATTTTTGATTACCACTTGTTTTGTGCTGGTCTCAGAGGTGACTAATTCATGAAAAATAAATTGATTCAGAATCTCAGGTGATCTGTTTGTTTTATGTGCAAGGTTATTTCAAGAGCTATCAGTAAAAGGAAAATACTCCGTGAAGTAGAACTGTAATTACTTTGAAGTTAAAAATAAAGGACATGGCATGTGTGAATATTATAGACAATTATTATTTAAGATATTTACCTTTAATGCTTGCAATATATATTATAACCACTTTGTTTATTGTCCACACTATTTAGATTATTAAGGAAAGTAAGAAAATAATGGATAATTATACTTTATCTTGCTAATGTTTCAAATAAAGCATTTCACCAACCAGAATGTGTTAACCGATAATTAGGTTCCTCCATTATATTTTTTCATTAGAGGTGTTCATTAGACACCAAATAAGTACGCCATAGTTGTAATTGATTTTCATGGCCTTTGAAAAGGATACTGAGTTTTTTATAGAAGCATTTCTGTCCTTTAAAAATGTTCCATTGGTGCTGTCTTAATAAATTAAAACTATAGTTAATCTAACCCAGTACCTGCTCTTTCTCTTCTGAGGTTAACAATCATCTCTTATCCTGACCACTCAACTAGAAAACTTGAGAATGTAGTGGTGGTGTGGAATACTACCCTGACGGTTTGCAGTAACTGAACCTTGGCTCTCTGTATTTTTAAATGCTCCTACGTGATTTTTCACTAGCATTCGCTCTCTTTTCTCAGCAGTTTGGAACATATGGCTCCTAAAAGCCGCCATTATTTTCACTTTCACCTTAGTTGAGGTATTCTAGAAATGTGGGAGGAAAGGGTCCGCGTTTGTTCTGTGCAGCGTGCCTCTCTCCTTACTTAATGTCACCCATTCATGCGGAGAATACCTTCTTTGTCAAAATGTCCATAAAAGGACAGTCTTAGCAACTGCAGCACTCAAGGAAAATAATTTTGATAGTGCTAGCAGATATTTATTGAGTGCTTCATTTGTAGAAGCTTTAAATCTCTCTGACTTCGTCCTTACAGTAATACTGAGGTTGAGGTAGGTACTGTTGCTACCACCATTGTGATGAGTTTGCTGAGCTCTAGAGAGAGGAACTTATTTGTGTAAGGTCACACTGCCAATACTACCTAGCAGAGCTGGCACTTGAACCTCAGTCCAAAGGACACCAGAATCTGCTTTTAATGATCATGCAAGACTCTAAACTCCATGAGACAGAAAGCAGGTTGGTCTGATCCTCTTAGAACCTAGGATGGAGCCTTGCACCTGTTAGGCATTTGGTAAATATTTGTCGAATAAAAGAAAAAAATGGAATAAACTGGAAAATAGACTTATTTACCATTTAATGTACATTGTGATATTTTTATATGTCATATCATTGGGGAAAATGATAATCAGTCAATATATTTTCTTGTCATAGTGTGTGATGTTAGACATTGTTTAGTTTACAATCCAGTTTTCATGTCATATTTATTTTCCCCTTAGTTAATTGCTCTAACATTAGAATAAGCTGTCATGAATATTAATGCTTTAAGAACTTGGATTGCTAAAAACTAGGTTTTCCCATAAACATAACAATTTAAATGGAATTAAATGTTAGCTTTTTATTTTAATTAAAGTCTTTACTAAATTGGCTATGCATAAATATTAAAGAAGACTGTCTTTTAAAATATATCATATTGGGGGGGGGAATATATCACATATGGTGTGGCTCAGTGGTTGAATGTTGGCCTATGAACCAGAAGGTCATGGTTCAATTCCCGTTCAGGACATATGCCCAGTTGCAGGCTCGATCCCCAATGTGGGGCGTGCAGGAGGCAGCCGATCAATGATTCTCTCTGTCTTTATCTCTCCCCCCTCTCCCTCTGAAATTAATAAAAATATATGTAAAAAACATAAAAAACAAATACTGATATACAATTCTTATAAGCTTTGCTGTAAGCTTTTTTTCTTACAAATCCATAACGGTGCTTAGTCACTGATTAGCATAATGCTCCATCCTGGTTCTGCTTCCAGGCTTTACCAGAAAGCATCTCTTAAATGACCCTGGATGACTGTGTATCCAGCTCCAAGGTCATTCTGTCTCAGGTTTACATCCCTGGCAAGTGAGCCCTAATTATCTTTTTAGAGCCATTCAAGGGAAAGCTCCAGTCTGGGCTTCTAAGATTCCTGTTGTTAGTCTCTGTTCTACTTTTTGGCCTGCTGGCCAAGAAGATGGAGTGGGAAAGTGTGTATGTAGCCTTTTAAAATTCCTAGTGTTTAAGTGAGTGCATTACTGTTGTTTTTTATTATTCGGTGAGTACCTTTCCAGTCAGTCCACGTCAATGCCTGAAACTGTTGTTTTTCTTATGTGAGAAGTTCGCACCTTTTCTAGTGCCTTTCTGAGCAACGGTTACATGGACTTCTTAATTTTAATCATTGAGATTGAAAATCATGCTTCCCTTGATCCAGATTTCTATGCACACATAAATCTCCAGTGGATTCAACTAGTTCTTGAAAGATTTCAAGTTTGAGTCCAAATTTATGAGGATAGAAATTAAAACATATGTAAACAGAATTCAGTATTTTAACCAGCTGTGCAGTGATTTCTTCACAGTCCCCCCATGCCCCATAATTCAACTCTGAAATTACTCTGCATCCGTCTCCAGCCATGCAGTCCTCGAAGTTAGCCTTTCCTCATCGGATTTATTTTCTGTACCTTATTCTAACACATCACTTAATTTCCATTTCCCACTAATTTGAGGACACCAGAATAGATAATCAGATGCCAACCAAGTGGAATAAGTATTTAATACGATGGGAATATTATTCTTCACAGCTATAATTCTCCTGATTATTATGAAGCTTACTAAAGTCATTAACTAATGACTTTAATAGGACTACGTCATGCCCATGTGAACTGAAATATAACCATTTTGTTCCCCTTCCTCTCCTCCCTTCCCTTTCCCCTCCTTCCATGATCCTTCTCTCTTCTTTATTCATTCCCTTTTATCCCATCCAGGGTCCCCGTGGTCCTTTTCCCCTCCTCCCATGATCCTTTCTCTCTTCTTTATTCTTCATTCCCTTTTATCCCATCCAGGGTCCCCGTGGTCCCGAGGGAATGCCAGGAGAGAGGGGCTTACCAGGAGAAGGCTTCCCAGGACCAAAGGTAACAAGACTTTCTGTACTAGGAAAAGTGCTTTGTCTTGCATGGTCATGAATTACAAATTTTAAAAACTGTGTCCAGTTATCAGAAGTCAAGTATTTTCCTGACCAACTTCACCCTATTAAATGAAGGAATATGTAAATTTCCCCTTACAATGAAACGACAGTGAATTTTGCAATCATAAGTGAGTCATTGACAGACTTCTACTTTATATAATTATTGTGTGTGAACTTAGAAAAATCTCTTGGACTGGAGTCATTAAAGCACAGTGATGGCCTCTTTACGCCCAGTAGTTGAGTTACAGTGTGTAGCTATGACGAAGCTTTACTCTCAGCTTTGTTTTTGTGAAACGTAGACAAGAAACCAATTTGTAACAGCATTGCCTTTAGTATAATAAAAAAGAAATTAGCTTATTACTATAAGGAGCAAAATGGTATGAAAAACCAATCTTTTACCTGGCAATTGAGAATTTAAATGTCTCCACTGCTTCCCATATATAATTCTTGGAGCTCAAGTTCCTCTAGACCAGGGGTTGGCAAATTTTTTCTTTCAAGGCCAGGCAGTAAATGTTTTAGGCTTTGTGAGCCATATGGTATGTGTTGCAACTACTTAACTCTGCTGTTGTAGCATGCAAGCAGCCATAAACAATGTAGTTTAAATGAATGAGTGTGGCTGTGTTCCAGTAAAGCTATATTTTACAAAACACAGGCAGAGAGCTGGAGTTGGCCATTGGGCTTTAGTTTGCTGATCCCTTGTCTAGGCTGTTTACTCGAAATCTGTGGCACCTTTGCCAAAGGCCACATGGGAAATGATTTTCCAAGATACTTTGGGTGGCATCAACAAAATTTGAGAGTAAGGATAAATTTTGGAGTCTTTTTCCTTCTTTTCTAAAGCTTTTCCCCCAAACACATGTGCATGCACACACACTGCCCAGAGAAGCATGCATTCTTTTCTAAGCGACTAAGACCTTCCACGGTATTCAGTCAGGTCCCTAAGTTCTGACCTTCTCAGTATTGCTGCTGCACGCTCTAAAACTACATCTCATTCTTAGCCTCTCCTGTCTTGATCAATATTCAATGACCTATGAGAAAACCATATTTCAGGTAGAGGAAAATTAATTAGCTACAACAAATAATTCATACTAAGTTTTGAGAGACTGCTGAGTTGAATTTTCAGAGAGGCCCCTTTTAACTAACACATTTTAACTTGTCATAATAAATGAAAATGATATGTTAGGTAAAGGGGACTTTAGTAATGCCCTTGACTAACCAATATGTCACTATCAGATACAGAGGCTAGCAATTTAGCACTACATTTCAGAATGATTTATAATACATAGTTTCTTGAATTATTTTTTGTTATGTAGTAAATTTTTATATATGTGTAGCCCAAACAACCTGGAAAACTTAAATAGACAGAATTACTTCTCTTTATAATCTATTTTTTTTTACTATCCTATCTAATAAAAGAGAAACATGGTAATTAGCGTACGACCGCTACCCTTCCCATTGGCTGATCAGGGCGATATGCAAATTAACTGCCAGCCAAGATGGC